TCAAACCCATATATGATGAGAACCCTGGTCCCTCCGGTATTTAATATAAGCACACATTCATTACATTATGGTAACACAGTACTGTACTACCAAAATATTAAAGATTATATATGCAATGTACATGTATGCCTACAGAAAGTTTCTATCAAAATATGTTTTTAATGAAATGAAATCTGTTACTTGTTTTTTGTATGATTGTAGATGGTATACCTACGAGACAGCTTGGTCCTATTAACTCATGGTGGATTGCTGGATTTGATGGAGGAGAGAAAGCACTTGTGGGTTTTTCTACAGGTACACACATGCACACAGTGAATTATGATATTACACCTTCTATCTCTGTCTCTTCTCTATTTGACCTCTTCCTCTCTACAGCGTATGCTGAATACATACTGATGGATGCTTCATATGATTATGCTGACATCATGGCATCAGTACAGGAAAAGATATATCTAAGCAAGGTATAATAATAATAATAATAATAATCTCAAATTCTACATTTTTCTACATCTAGGTGTATGCATTTTTCACCTGTTTTTTTTTTGTTTCTAATTATTGTACTTATTTTAATAATAATAATAATTATTATTATTATTACAGTAATTTAATATTATTTTGTTTGTAATCAGATTCTTATTGAGTACTTGGAGGAATTCCCAGCTGTTACGTATGAGGACTTATTGAATAAGATTCAAACGTCAGTTCCACCTCAATCCATCGGATGCACTTCATTCACTGAAGAATCTTTACTGAGGCATGCTCAGTTCATTGTGGAACAGGTACCTTCATGTACATGTACTACACTTACATGTACAATGCACTGCAATAAGCACATACTGTAACAGTAATAGGTTCAAATTTATGTACATTATATATGTACACATGTACTCACATACTGTTTAGCGAGAAATTTTCATGGCCCGAAATTTTACAAATTCATCCAAAAATCTATTTTGTGGCTTTAATTTTCACAATTTGCTGCTTTTTGGCCATGTTGAACTGTACAATTTTGCAAATTTTATTTTTGTAAATTTTGAATAAATTGCAAAATTCATGAACATTTTGGGCCACAAAAGATTCTAGCTATACGGTAATATTTACATTTCTTGACAGGTTGAGAGTTATGATCAGTACTGTGATGAGGATGAGGATCTCTTGCTAGTGTCTCCATGCATGAGAGCATTAATAAAGCTAGCCGGGGTCACACTGGGAAAAGGTTCCATATTTGTTAGATACATTACCCACCATGACCTGGTGTTTTTAGACTATCAAGCCGACGCCCACACCAACCCAAAGTCAAAAAGACCAAGCAAACAAAAGTATGATAATAATTATGAAATAATAATTTATACATTTAAATTATTAAATAATTATGTAATTTGTGGTTTTCGTTTGCAATTTTGTACAGGCGACAACCACTCCCCTAGTGAGAGATATCTTTGAGACATTCTTCAAGAATCAGATTGATAACAAGTCCAGCTCCGCTCCTCATAGGAGGAGGTGTGGTATCTGTGAGACGTGCCAGCAGCCCGACTGTGGCAAGTGCAATGCTTGTGCTGATATGGTCAAGTTTGGCGGAACTGGAAGATCAAAGCAAGCTTGTATTAACAGAAGGTCAGTCATTGAAATGCATTGAAAATGGACTGCATATCTACCCCTGAATGTACTTGTCCATATATTTGTGTGTCTCTATGCATGTGATAACTTTTATTTTTTTTCTATTCTTTATCTCTCACCTCTCAGATGCCCTTATATGGCCGTACAGACAGCCGAAGAAGAGGAAGATAATGATTCAGTTGATCCTGACTTGAAGAATGTGGTACATTAGTGGGTGTGGTTGGAAAATAAACTCTCTTAATGTTTAGAAAGACTTGAAGTCTCCATCAAAGAAGATCAAGAAAATAAAGGTACAAGTAAAATATAACTTTATTGTACTGTATGAATTTATATTATTATTTGTTACTTGTAGACAAAAGTCGAGTGGATTGGCGAGCCAATTTTTGGAAAAGGAAACAAAAGCTACTACTTTGAAGTCCTCATCAACAACAAAGAGAAGGTTAGTAAGGGAGAAAGGGAGATATTTATAGATTATTTATATGCAAAGAGCTTACAAAGAGAAGGTTAATATACATGTACATGCACAGAGAGTAGAGAAAGGGAGATATTGAGGAGCTTGTTTATATATACAGTGTTGTGTGTATACTTGTCTCTTTTAGGTCTGTTTATATGATGTGGTGTCAGTCTGTCCAGAAGTGCCAGATGACCCACTCTACCTCACACACATCATGTCAATTTATGAAGACTCAAATGGAAAGAAAATGTTTCAAGGATGGTGGTTTCAGTAAGCATCCAGCAATTATTGTTTTTGTAGTTTTATTATTATATTTTTAAAGTCGATCTACCGATACAGTATTGGGCGAGACTGGAGATCCACGGGAGCTATTCCTTATTGACGATTGTGAGGATAATCCTCTTGGGGCTATCATGGATAAAGTGGAGGTGAGAGAGAGAGGGGGGAGAAGGAGCAATATAATATACATCTGTATTATCAATTGCTATTAGGTTGAGTACAAGCCTCCTGTCAGTAACTGGTTTATGTGTGGTGGGGAGGAAGTACCTGATGATGAAAAAGAGATTGAGGAAGACGGGAAGACATTTTTTGTTCAGAAATACTATGACCAGTCTTTGGCACGTTTTGAAGACATTCCGAGCGAATACTTAAGATACTTGATACCGGACGATGCCCATTCACCCACTGATGGTTTCATACCTCAGTGTGCTTCTTGTGAAAGAAGGAATCACAGGAAAACTGTAAATGACATTTAACATGTACATGTAAATGTGTATACATTAATCGGTGCATATAATAATGTTTTAAACTGTCTCTCTTTTAAGGTGCATTCTGCAGTTCCTGTCAATAAGATAGAGTCAGAGAAACCAAAGATCACAAACTACAGGTAGGTAGTATTTACTATCAGTATTCAATACTCCAATCACTGTGTGCTTTGTATGTTAATAAAATGTAGTCCTAGTGACTAGTGTACATGTGTATTGTATTTTAGTAAAACAGAGGCGTTACTAAGTAGGATTCACCGCAGTACAAAATCGCTGCCATCATAGATACTATATACACAAAGTGGATATGAAACAGGATGCGCCTATGCTCTTTTCTCCGGATGTGACGTTTTTCCTAGATACGCTTAGCAACCAAAATGGTGGCAAAATCAATAATTATAAAAAACTTCATAAAAATCTATATTTCTTCTGAAAAGAGTCCGTACAAGAAACAACAGACAATTTATCTTCATTGGTTTCATATTCATACCCTATTTGATGATCAAAAAAATAATATTATGATAATAGTTTTATCATTCTAATATGGTATATCACAATGACATTAAGTAACTTTTTTCAAAGAAACATAGCTTTAAAATAATTATGAAAATATACAAACCGTACAAAAGGCAGTGTACGTAGACTCATACAAAATTATACCTCTTCAAATAGCATAGTTTCCAGAAAAGGCGTTAC